TCAGGCAAAATGAACCGTATGAAGAAAAGCCACTGGCATAACCAGTGAACAGAAGTGAAACAAGCACCCAGAGATAATCCCTGTTAACTTCAAGCACTGTTCAGACTAAAACTTGTGCTGTAAGCCAATCCTGCCATTAGAGATACATGCTATGAGTGGCTGTGGAGAAAACAAGACATGATTCAAGTTCCATAGTATTTTTGGAATATGAGTCAAGTTATAATTTGATGCTGAATTTCTGGTTATGAGTTGTGGTTTTATTCCTCTCACATAGCTAGCCTGTCTATGAAAGCCTGTTACATTAAACACATGACAGAACATCCTTTTTTTTTATTTTTTCTATCCTGTGCCAGGAAACTTAGCTGGGTTAATATTTACCTGACATTTATGGAATCCCTCCAAGGTGAAGGACTCAGCAATAGGCTCCCTGCTGAGGGAATAGTAAAGAGCACGTAACATTTAACATAATGGTGCGTGAAATGCCAGAGCAACTCTTCTCCCTTCTGCCTACACAGACGCTTTCTAAAAGCTCTTTTTGATGTGACACCTCTAAATGGAGAGACTCATATCTAGGGCGGACCATTAAGCATATTGGCCTTGTGGACCCAATTATTTTCTTAGAATGGCCTCTAGAGAATGTCATGGGGCACTAAGGATAAAGAGCAGCTCTTGGTATAAGTCTTAACCTGAATTCTCTAGAGAAGCAAACCCAGTGAAGCTTATATATGTATATACAGAAAGAGTTTATCTCAAGGAAGTGGCTCACAAGGTTGTAGAGGCTAGCACATCTGAAGTCCATGAGTTACTTATCAGGCTTGAGGCTTCCCAACTCATGTAGCTGCAGGGGCTGATGAATCCAAGAGCATCAGGTAAGACGGCAGGCTGCTGGCTCATTACCTGCAGAGGCTGATGAACTCAAGATCAGCAGGCAATGCTCAAGACCGCTGGCTCAAGTCCCAAGACCAGAGGTCAGATGATGATGAAACAGATGCAGATCCAGAGCAAGCAAAAAGCCACAGAGTTTTGCCAGAAAATCTATATATATTAGATGCAGGCCACACCCCCGAAGAAACTCCCTTCCAACTGACTGGTTGCTCATACAGATCTCATCATGGAGGTGATGACATTATTACATTAAGTGCCAAACTACATCTTAACTGCCAAACCACCAAGAATTATGCTCCAAGCAAGTTGACACACAACCTTAACCATTACAGTACAAGACCACACAAAATGTTCCACTCTGATCATCATTATGGATAATAAAAGTGATAGCTTATGTACCAGCAGAGCAATATAAAGCCTAATGTCTCCTTCCAGATGCTGGAAACTGTCGTAAGTCAGAGAATTACAGAAAAACAATGACTACAGATGCCTTTGCCAAAGAGTTAATAGATACCAAGTCTTCAAGTTGTGTCATCTCCAAGTCCACTAAGACTATACAAATATTATGAGCTTTTACCATAAACTTTTTCCTAAGCAGAGTTATCAAATTTGGATGTGCCACCCAAAGTTTATCTCTTCTAATTGTCTTGCTCTTACCTAGATCATAAAAAAATTTTCATGATAGGAACGTTACCTAATTTTGGTGAAAAGGAAGCAAAGTAAAACTGGCTGATGTTTACAGTTGACTAATTTTAGCACTTTCATTTCTGCTTATTTAACAATTGCTCAGATGTAGTTAAAGTTCCCAAACAATCAACATGTAGCCTAGTGACATGAGAGCTTCAATATTTATTGTAGATGAGTGATTCTCAAACTTTAGCATGGATTAATATCACCTGATGACTTGTTAAAACACAGGCTGCTGGCCCCATTCCTGGCCTGATTCAGCAAGCTTGGAGTGTGGTCTGATAGTCTACATGTCTAATAAGTTTCCAGGTGTCCCTGGATTACTTTGAAAACCACTAATTTTGATTTTGAGACTAGGGAAGTTATTTATCTTCTTTAAACCTCAGATTACTCACTGCAAAAGGGGAGTATTGGGAGAATTAAATGAAATGTTTAACAATAATCTCTAGCTTAATACCCATACATGATGGGTGCTCTATACATGGTGACTGTTATTACATAATACAAATCAACTCTAGAATTTCAATTTTAAGAAAATCAATGTCATGAAACAAAATGTGTATGAAGTGCTGTGTGGAAAATGAATTTGCTCTGTAAACTTTCACTCAAGTCACAAAAAAAAAAAAAAAACCACAAGCTAACTTGTGACAAAGCTTGTAAGTTACATATACTCTCTTTTATCTGTATACCTATCCTCCCTCATTTCAGACAAGACATCAGTACCACTTTCCCACTTACAAAGGCTATGGCTTTGGAATGAAAAAACAGAAAGCATTATCTGGAAGAAATATGCACCAGGGAGCCTAAGGGTATATGAATAGCTATTGTGTAAACATTTTTCATAAAACTGTACATTTGCAGTGTTTAGAATCATTATATCCCCATATTGAACAGTAGTAAGAAACTAGGGATCCCTGCAAGCAAAGATCTGATTTAAATCATGAACATTTTCTTTGAAATAATCCTGAACATCAGGATGAAAATCTCTTCCTTGCCAGTGAAAGCAGTGCTAAAAGGGAGCAAACCAAAACAAACCAATGGTCCCGGCTCACAGCGACCCCTCCTTGGGTTTCCGAGGCAGTATCTCTTCAGAAGTAGATCACCCAGTCTTCCTTCCGAGGAATGGCTGGTGGGTTTGAACCACCAGCCTTCTGGTTAGCAGACAAATGCCTTAGGCATTATACCACCAAAGCTCCCAAAAAGGAGCAGAGGGAAGGAAAACTGGGGACTGGGTGTGATCATTTCAGCCACAGAGCAGCATCTGCCCTTCAAGTTTCTCTTTTCACAAAGTGAACATGTCCATGTACCCTTTGGGCTCAGTCTCTAAATCAGGTAAATAGCACCAGCTAGAGGAAGAAAAAGGACCTATGGTGGCACAGTGGTTAAGCACTCTGCTGCTGACCTAAATGTCAGTGGTTAGAATCCAGCAGCTACTTCCATGAGAGAAAAATGTGGTAGTCTGCTTCCATAAAGATTTACAGCCTTGCAAAGCCTACAAGACAGTTCTACTGTGTTCCGCAGCATTGCTATGAGTCAGAATCAACCTAGCAGAGGAAAAGGGAAAAGGCGCAGATTGAGGGTACAGGTAGAGTATATACTCAACTTCCTCTCCGCCTCTTGGGGTCAAAGCACTTCATTTAACTTGTTAGTGGGTGGTCAACACCTGGGTTCTATCCTCCCAGCTCCAGCAGTGAGGAAAACAGAATTAGCATTCTTTTCCTTCCCTTACATAGATGCCCGTATTTCTGCATTTCCTGCAGGTGAAGGACTCCTCCCCTGCAGTGTGAGATGTCCATACTAAGAAGATAGTGCAGAGAGAGATTTCAGGTTTGGCATCTGAGCTTTATACAGAACAAATAAGCCCCATATTCTGGCAGGTCATCAACTCTGTATGTCATGATGATGATGATAAAAATATAAACAATAGAAGCTAACCTCTGTTGAGCGCTTATTATGTGCCAAATGCTTTTCAAATTTTGTCATGTGCATGAAATGTATTTAATCTTTGTAACAACTTTATAGATGAGGAAACTGAGGTACAGAGAGGTTGAGTAACCTGCCTAAGGGCAGGATGCTATTCCATGTGGAACCCAGAGAGTCACTCCAGAGCCCATGATCCTAACCACTCTACAAGCCCCAACGGTTTGAACTAGTTATGGAGCATGAATAAATATGATGGACATATTTTTAGTACTTGAAATCAGGACACATGGGGGAGAATATAACTAAGACTGTCCTGGAAATTCAGGGACATATGGAGAACCCAAAACTGCAGCTTGCCCAGTGACAGTGGAGAAGACACTCTGTGGGAGAAAGGAGTGTGGATCTTGGAGGCAGGGGCTCTGAAGTGACCCGGCATAAAGCCGGATGTCCTTAAGCAAGTATTTTAATCTGTCAGAACTACCTCTTTTCCTGAACCTGTAAAAATGGACTCATGTGAGGATTAAGTTGTCTGTTTATTCACAAAGTCCTACAGAAACAGTGCTACTGTTTTGTGGCACATTAGCAAACTTCTAGACAGGATGGCTGGGGAAACCATGTGGGGGCAGAATCCCTCAGGACGTGTGGCCCAGAGGGAGGACTAACAGAAGGACATTGACAAAATGATCTAGTAAAAACTGTCTCCCCTTCTCCAACAGAAGCACCAATTAATTCATTTTACTGTTTATTATCATGGCTACTTAGAACTTGACTGTGTACATCTCTACATCAAAATAATATGGAGCTTCATTTTTTTTTCCTTGACACATGCTGGAAGAATTTCTTACAGGCCAAGGGTGAGAGTTCAGGCATTCTGACAGGAACACTATGGGAATACGTCTATCCATCCACTCACCCGCCAATGTCTATAAGCAGCAACAACATTAGAATCACTGCACTAAGATGCTGGAGACAGGACAATCTCTTCTGACCAAGACCTGCATCCCAGTCTCAGCTCTACCACTACAAAATGGGACACCTAGGGCATTTAAGAGTGCAGCATAACAACTACCCTTTATCTCCTTCCTGAGCAAATCCCCAAAGTTCCCCACTCTCTCCCTTTGTTCGATCTCCAAAGCTAGGCAGAAGTTTATCTTTGGGTATTAATCTAGAGGACTACATTGCACTTGAAAATTAATTTAGGAAGATCTAACCTCTTAATACTAGGTCTTCATATATAAGATTAAGATATGGCTCTCCATTAATTTAGCTCTTTTTAAAAGATATTATGACTTTCTAATAAGTTAGATTTAAATTACCAGGTCATTGTCTCATGGGTTCTTTTTTTAACCAAAGCACAAAGGAAGCAAACAACTAATAATGATGACATAAGAAAGAAACAAAATCAAATCCTGAAAGGTGAACACGTTCCCGCCACTCTGTCTCGCCCTGCAGGGGTCTCACTCTACACCCTGTTCAATTCATCAGTCAGGATGTAATGTACTTACTCAGGGCTGTCTGGATATCCTTTTCTCCATTTTTCACTTCTGTCAAAAATCCCTTCAAAAATTTGAGACCTCTAAAACAAAAAAGAGGAAGAAATATTACATTCCAAGTTCACTTATGCTGAATGGCTATAAAGAAATGGTAGTTATCAGCTTATATTTCACTCATGCATCAGAAACAGTAAACAGGCCGAGACATGGCAGTCCTTTCCGAGTTTCTTGTTCTTTTCCTTTAGCTTACTCAGGACCATTCCTTCATCCCATCTGGTAAACTTAAAGCAATGTTTTTCAAAGTGTGATCCCAGGACCAGCAGCTTCAGCATCACCTGGGACTTTGCTACCAAAAATAACCAAACTCACTGTCGAGTTGGTTCCAACTCATAGTGACCCCTCCTTGGGTTTCTGAAGCAGTATCTCTACTGAATAGATTGCCTAGTCTTACTTCTGAAGAGTGGCTGGGTTTGAACTGCCAACCTTCTGGTTAGCAGTCAAGGCTCTTAGGTACTACGCCACCAGAGTTCCTAGAATTTGCTAGAAATGCAAACTGTCAGGTAGAATAAGAAAATGTAAGGGATAGAGTCCCCAGCAATGAGTTTTTAGCAAGCTCTCTACCACACTTTGAGAACCACTGACTTAAAGAAAAACTAGTTGACTTTATTGTCTTTTAAGATTCCTTAAATATACTATTAATACCCCAACCCACTGTCAACGAGTAAATTCCAACTCATAGTGACCTTACAGGGCAGGACAGAACTGCTCCACAGGTTTCCAAGGCTGTAAAACTTTACAGAAGCAGATGGCCACCTCTTTCTCCCATGAAGTGGCTGCTGGGTTCTAACCAACCTTTCAGTTAGGAGCCAAATGCGTCAACCACTACACCACCAGTGTTCCTAATAATAAACAGACCTCTATGAGTAGTATAGGGAGCCCTAGTGGTGTGGTGGTAAAGTATTCTGCTGCTAACCAAAAGGTCAATGGTTCAAACCCACCAGCCACGCATGGGAGAAAGATGTGGCAGTCTGCTTCTGTAAAGATTTACAGCCTTGGAAACCCACGTGGCATTTCTATCCTGTCCTACAGGATTGCTGAGGGTTGGAATTGAGAGCAGTGGGTTTGTTAATAATAATCATCATCATCAAGGAGGAAACAAAAGTTCATGCTATTTCCATCAGGCGTTCTAGGAAGGGCTACGCACTGAGGATAGCTCTTCACTGAGAAGCAGTCTCCTTGGTGCAACAAATTTTTTTTCTGGTGACATTTCAACGGAACTGGATTATAACTGCTGATGCCCCACCCCAGCTGCCTCACCTCTTCAACCACAAGAGGGCTTCTGTTGCCGAATTCCTAATCTGGGCTACATCTGCCTCCACTTCATGTAGCACTATTTTCTGAAGAGTGGTAAACTCTTCTTTGTTGGTTATATACTTCTGATTTACTTTCTGAAAGAAAAGCAAGGGAAGAAACTAAATTGAAAACTGTAACAAGCAAATCAATACAGTACTGGGATTTATAATCTGGCAAACAGGCCTATAAGAAATCAAAACAAATTAAGACTATCACCTTTTTCCTTCTGTTTCTAAGGTAATGTGTTTTTGTTTGAGAATTCTTAAGAGGTTTAAACAGGAATTAAATAAAGTTAGTCTTTTAGGGTTTTAAAGCATTGTTCTTTATTTTTTCCTGCCACAAAACCTCTCTCACAGCTGTCCCTTGGGGTACTTCTCATGTGGAGTATTTAGCTGAACAATCACCTGTTCCTGAATAATATTTCATGCCACTATTCCCTCCAAGTACATAGCTTCTAAAGAAACTTAAGTATAATCAGCTGTCCAGGCAGGAATTCCTTAATCTGCTTCCTTAAAGAATAGGATTTATTGACAAAGATGAAAGGTTTTCATTGGTTAGTGTATTCTCAAGAAGGTCATGTTCAATCTACATTTAAAATGGGACACAAACTTCGATAGAAGTTATGTATACAACTCCCTCATCTTACAAGAGAAGAAATGGGCTCAGAGAATCGCTGAGGTGCTGATTGTTGCACAGCTGCACCTCAAACTCTGGTCTTTTGAGTCGCAAACACTGGATGGCGATTTCACCATCTCTTCGGGAAAATGTGACTTGTAATCCTTTGAACGGAAAAAGCACAAATCAATGTTGACATAAGAGTAAAATCCCACTGATTCCAGCTCTGAAAAGGAAACCCTGGTCTCATATTTAAAATGAATATTCTGCCGACAAGAGAGCTTGCCTCCAGCATACAATTAGGGCTTAGTTACTAATTCCCTCATTGAGGATTCAAACTATGGTAAGGTATTTGCTTTCTTAAACAGCTTTGATACCTATTCTCACTCTGATTTATTCTTATCAAACATGAAAATTTTTAAAAAGCTTTTCCCCTTTATTTACATGTTTCCCCAGAGACAAATCAGTATACTCACCTTAATATTTCCAACAAGATCCATTTTAACAGGAGCAAATACTGTAGGGCCAAGTTTGTCTAGAAAAAGTATTGAAAACATCTTTGGAAAAACAAGCTTTTTTCCAACTGGAATTTTTTTTTTTTTTTTAAACAACAATAATGAATTTAGCAAATCTTTTCCCCAATTACTTTCATTTTTGCTTTGAAATAATTTTCTAAGCATAAGCTTAAAAGGCTTCCCAGATATTGCAGTCAACTTTTTATATTATAGTACTCTGAGTAAATGATAATAAGGTCATAAGCAGCAGGTGAGATGAAAAGGCATCTTATAGGTTTAGAATGCTTATTTATTGCAATGCTCAGGGCTGCACTGTCCAATATGGGAGGCACCACCCTTCTTGCCATTGAGTGCTTACACTGTGGTTGGGGGAAATAGAGATGCACAGCAAGTGTAAAACACACACCAGATTTTGAAGACTTCGTACCAAATAAAGAACCCAAAACATCTCATTAATGATTCTTTTATATTAATTACATGGTGAAGTGACAGTATTTTGGATATATTAGGTTGAAGAAAATAAATCATTAAAATTAATTTTACGAAGCTTGCAAGTGGCCATCTATATGTAATGATGGGTCTCTCCTCATCCAGAGCAAAGAAGAATGAAGAAAACCAAAGATTCGTGGAAACAATTAGTCCAAGCAACTGGGACACCATGAGATCCTCAGCCTATAGGACTATGAGACCAGAAGAACTAGATGGTGCCTGGCTACCACTGTCAACCACTTGGAGGGGGATCTATGTAGGAGATCCTGGACAGAATGGGAGAACAATGTGGTACAAAACTTAAAATCATTTGGGGGTAAAAAAAAAGGGACCAGGTTTGCTGGTCTGAGAGCCTGATGTAACCACTGAGCCTATGGCCCTTAGCTGCCCTATAGGTATGGAATTGAACCCACTCCTGTGGCTTCCAGCCAAACAAAAGACAGGCATATGAGGTGAACATTTATACTAGGTAGATATACTCCTTGGAGAGAACAATCATGGGAGAACAGAAGGGCTGTGTATACATAGGGAGACAGCTCAGGGGGCAGGAGTGCATGGAGGGAAGGACACAGGGAAGAGGTAACTATGGGGAGGAAGTGGGAAGGAAGCTATTGCATTGTGGTAAATCGTAGTCAATGTCATGAGACAAAGTGTATATGAATTGTATGGAAAGTGAATTTGCTCTGTAAACTTTCACTCAAATCACAATAAAAAAATAATTTTATATGTTTACTATATTACTATAAAATTTACAATTACATATGTGGCTCAAGTATTTCTCTAGGACAAGATCAACTACTAAAAAATGAATCAAAGATGAGAACAAAAATATATAGCTAAAATGTCAAAAGAGGAAATAGAATACTCAAAAAATAATTAGCTAGAATTCAGATGAAGAGTTGGAAAAAAAAGGAGCAAAGAACAGATGGGAAAACCAGAAAATAATTATCAAGAGAGTAGACATAAATTCAACCAAATGATGTAATTCACTATATTACCACAATACAGGAAAAAAAAGTATTATCACAATAAATGCAGAGATGGCATTTTATAAAGTTAACTCATTTATGACTTTTAAAAAATCAATTATATCCATATGCTATCAACGAATAATTGGAAAACAAAATAAAATACTTTATACAATAGCATCAAAACCCCATAAAAGTCTCAACTTTATTCCTAACAAAAGATATTTAAGACCTCTATACCAGAAACTTGGGAGCTCTGGTGTCATAGTGCCTAAGGCATTTGACTGCTAACCAGAAGGCTGGAGGTTCAAATCCATCAGCCACCCTTCAGAAGGAAGGTTGGGCAATCTACTTCTGTAGTGATACTACCTTGGAAACCCAAGGCAGGGTCGCTATGAGTCGGATCCGACTCGAGGGCAATGGGTTGCGTTTTACACCAGAAACTATACAAAGTATGGATGAGAGAAAAACCACCTAAATAAATGACAAGATACAGCATGTTCATGCATCAGAAGATTCAATGTTAAGATGCCAATTTTCCCCTAACTGGTTTATAGTCAATGCTATATCCCCAGGGTTACAGGTGAGGAGAGACAACTCAGGGACGCCCAAAGTGGCAAGCGGGAAGAGCAGGAGAAAGGGAATTAAAAGCCAGGAAGCCAGAGAGAAGAGCAGTCAGCCGAAGGGATTAGGTGAGGAGGGGCAACTCAGGCCC